TAGTGTTAGAAGAATAAGAAGAATGGTTAAGTACACGTTGCCGCCACGTGTAATAACGTCTAATGCAATGCGAAATGCGAAACATGAAACAAGCAGATGTGCGACGTGGAATGCAAAATTGCGCGCACGTCTTAATATTTCCATCATTGCGAAGGTGCAACGCGTGATAAGTATGCGCACCACGTATGGAATGTAATTCTCGCGTATGTGCACAAAAGTTTGATATTCCTTGAGAGTTTAATGAGAAATAATACCACGGAAAAATTAAAAATAAAAACATAACATACTCTATTCTATAGGAGTTTTAATATTGGATGTATACTTGGTTGCCGAATGTTAGGGGCACTCGGTATGCGAATGGCAACATTGTCGCCGCGTCGACAACACGCTTATCATAACAATAACAACCAATCTGCATGACGTTTGCATATCTCCGCGCGCGCACGGCTTGCTCGAGCATGTGCACACAATACTTTGCACACACATGCGTTTCCTCAAGAGATCCGCGCGCATCTTCGTGCGCTCATACAATCACCCACACAATGGCGGCCTAGTTTGGCGCGCTCCCAATGTCAATGGCAGATTTCAAGCGCGGGGGAGTTTTTCGGCCATATGTGGTACATTGTTGAGTGGAAGTCGTAGATGTAGCAAAATCGAAAATTGGGATAACGTATTCAAGTCGCATTTTCCAATTTTCCACATAAAAACGAGAGCACTATTTAATTCTACTTTGCGTGACTTTGATTTCATCTTAAGGGTCTTCTACAAATGCTACAAATGCGTGTATTCTACAATTCAATTCATAACATCACTACAATTTTCTATTTCTTAAAATTTTGTTGTAATTTTTGCGATTTTTTGATTTTTTAAATTTTTTTCTTCTTGGTTCTGTCTCATTTGCTGCCCTCATCCTTTTGCCGTAATCGAATGTGCTCCTGATGCTCCTTGCGCTCGTTGCGCTTCCTCCAGAGAAATCTTATTCGCCGGTTGCATACATTTCTTCTTCATTCCGAAGATTTTTCGCCGGCGTTCCGGAAGGCAAACCACTTCCAGCATTCAAAGGATCTGAAAGAACAGAAAGACCAAAACGACCCACCGAAAAGTGCTTACTAATGCTTAGCCTCTCCCAGGCAGACCAAAAGAACGAATACATTTCCCGCCCACGCAATCATTGTGATGCTAACATATTCGCAAAATCTACAAACAAAACACATTCGCAGAAAAAGATCAACATCTCTTAAAATTGCACCGAAAACGTATCAAACACGAATTTAATTTTGTGCTTTTAATAAACTAGTAAGATGGGAAGTCTAAATCACACGAAATCAAATTATCTCGAAGCTCTTTGATTCAATTTACATTTCTTTATAACTTTGTTCCACTCTACGCGGGCTTTTATACTTTTATACTCGTTTCGCGATACGAAGGTTAAAGTTCGGTTAAACCGGCATGCGAAAGATAACATTATTTGACGTTGATCTACGCCGGATCTATTTTTATCTAATTTTTCACTTTCCGCCCGGGTTCGTTTCTATAGTTATCCTGCCGCTTCCGAGGGTTCAACTTCAACGGTCGTTTAGTGTATACTACCGACGTAATTTCGCACAGTGCTATCGAAAAGTTACTTCAAAAACTTGTAAATAGTACGCGCAGCTAGTATAACTTTGTTAAACTCTTAACTTTGCAGTTTTAATAGATCCGAAGTATTGATACGCGCGAAAATATTTGAAATTATTTTGGGTAACATAGGCAACTTATTATACACCAACGGGTGAGTGACCGTTGAGTTTTCGCGCGCCAAATTTAGTCTTAGTGCAACTGTCAACGTGTGTGTTTGTTTATTTACTCATGTGCATCGTATGCTTCATAAAATTCACTATGAAAATATCACAGTAAGTTTTTTTAATTGTTGTTGGTTAATGTAATTATTTTCGAATTAGTTTTGTATTGTTACGCGTTGAATGACTGCCTTGATTGCTGATTTTAATCGTCTTTCGGCTTTCCATTCAATTACTTTCTCTATTTTGAACCGCAGGCGTTTATTCGCCAATTGTTTCTATTATATCGGTTTTCGATTGCCATCGTGGCGGCCAGCGAAAACCACAAAGCTCTGCGTCCCAACTAACGAACAATAAATTTCCACTTTCTTCGCGTGGCGGCGCACAATGGAAGTATCCTACGCATCCACATGCACCACCACGAAAGGTCTAGGGCCAGAAGTGAGTATAGCGCATTGTTTGGTGGTCGCCGGCCCAACCCGCCAATAGATAGCGGCTTAATAAACTACTAAACGCTTCGGACTCGACGCCGAGTAGATTTATATCGATAACGGTTTTTCGTTCCGGTCGGGCGCTTCTTATCGAGCGTTATAGGCGTTGAAATTACAGGCATTTCCAGTTTGAAAATAGACCGCTTAAGACCCACTCTTCCAGTTTTTTTTTTTTTGGAAGAAGATTTTTCACTCTTTAGTCTGAAAGAGTTTTGAAAGCGGAGGAAGTGAGCTGGTGGAAGTTATTTCGAGTATATTTTCTCGGATGTCGCCGTGGGATGACTTTAAAAAATTGAACAAAGAACGCTCCGAAAAGATAAACTGGAAGAACATTGAAAATACATTGTACAGACACGCGTTACAGTCATGTGAACATGCGAACGAGTGAAAACATTGAACACTGAACGGGTGAGCGTTGAACAAGTGGCTCGACATCTCGTGGTCTTTTCATGTGAGAGACCCGGCGCCATGGAGCGAACAGTCACCTTCCGGATGTGGCTATAAATTTTATCAGAAAGCCATTACGGCGAGAGGGCGCACAGCCGGCGAAAATGAAGATCGGAATACACTCGCCGGAGTATTTTTAACAAAAATAACATTTTCGTCAAAAAATCGAATTTCGGACGGAATTCTAGTGATAAATGACCAACAATAGTCATCATCATCCACTCCTACAGACCCTATAATAATTGGAACAAACACAATGTCCTTCTTGCAAGAATATTCGTGTTCGTGCGAATTAATATTTATCGCCTTCGGAGTTATATAATGCCTTTCATGCGCGCATTTTGCGGTCGAGTATTACCATTCCTTTACACCCGAAACGTACCTTTATTCCTGGGTTAATGCCGTGTGTGCGCTGGCGAAATTAATAATTTACACTCATCGTGTCCTTATTAAACATTTACAATCGTGTACGTTTCCGGAACAGCGCAAACTCCGACTATACATTCGGATGCATTTTGAGAGGACCAAAGGACCAACTTGAGCCGGGGCTAAAACACCAAAGGACCACCGACTATAACTAACACTATATAAATAACTATGTCTACACTACCCGCTGAATTTATGTTTAATCCTTGAATACTTAAATGTTTGATATTTTACTGCGTGTAGATTACAGATTCCTGTACTTTTTTTCCTTGGTTAAACTGTATGTAGACTATTACTACAGTTTCCTGTAATTTTTTCTTAGCTTAACCAAATGTCACTCCCCTGAACATAATGTCCAAACCAATTAATCATTTTTTATTCAATTTATCGACTAGGCCCCGGACATATTTTTTCATCCGCGCGCGCGCATCTCTCGCGTGCAAGCAGGCTTATTACTTATTTTCCTTCGGCGTGCTTCTTAGACCTCTTTAGACCCCGAGTTTCGTAATGCGAGGCGAAGGCATTACTGCGCTGCTATTCTATATATTTCATCCTTTTCGCGTGGCATATTTTAGCAGCTGAAATATTATGTACGGCGGGCATTATTTTTTGCGCATTCTTCTTTATTTGCCTTATTTTTCTTAACGCCTTGCGACGCTGGGGCTTTTTGTGCGCGCGCGCGCTTAATAACGTTTCGGTCGTCTGTCCCAGAGTCGGAAAATGTGAGCGTGCCGAAGCTCAAAGAGAACCCGAACCATGCACAGATGGATGTGATGTCTATATATCTTTGAATATATTAAAAACCGACGCTGTCATAGAAGGAACATTTTGTAATGCACAAAGGAACATACAGTTTGTATTAATTTTTTAAATTTTTTTTTGGTGTAAAATTTTGTTTTTTTTTTCCCGACGTGTTTTGCCTGTGTTTATCTATGATTTTTACTTTTTACGCATGGTAGAAATGAAAAGACATAAATACAAAATACATAAAGGGCATAAAAGTTTTCCGGGCGCTCGGGAAAATGCATAAAGCACTATAAAGCATCGAAGCACCGAGGCACATTTTCGCGTATCGCGATGTCGAACGTTTCGCTCGTATTTCGCACACCACCTCCGCATCTCCCCCGCCGCGTGCGCAACTTTGCGTACAGCGCGTTTGTTTTCTATCCGGGTTTTCCACGCGCGCGCTCTTCCCTCATTTTTCCCGGCTCTCCCGGCGCGGAAATAAAACATCATAACCGATGCTGCGCCTAGCGGCCTGCCCCAACTCCGACCGAGTTTCAGGAAGCGGCGGATGCGTGTAAGTAAGAGCTACCGGTTTGTGTTAACCTGGATTTATCCACAATACACATTCCGGCTGCATTCAGCTTTTAGTAAATTGAAAAAATTGATATATTGATTAATTTTCAAAGAATTGTAATCCAATCTACAAATTACCACAAATAAAAAATTTCTTTTACGTTTCCCATGAAGTTATATTGCAATTTTACATTAATTTTGTGTAAAAAATTGAAAAATTATATTTTTACTATTTTAATCTTTAAAATTTTCAGTTTTTCCATGATTTAAGACACAAAAAGTTGTACTTTATACAAGGGCTTTAGTCATGGGGTGGCTAAAATACTTTATTTTATGTAAAAAATTGAAAAATTATATTTTTACTTCTTTAATCTTTAAAATTTGAGTTTTTCAATGATTTAAGACATAAAAAGTGTTATTTTATACAAGGTTGTGACTAAAGTACATTAGTCACGGATTTTAGTCACGGGGTGGCTAAAAACCGTGAAAAATGATTTTGTACATATTTATTTATTCATTTTTAAACTTTCCATAACCAAAACTTTACTTTTTGTTACAGATTGCTTCAGAAAAACCCTGTAATCATCCAAAGTGAATAATTACTGTCCTTTCAACAAACGGTGAGTTTTCCTTCGATTTTCCTATTTTATCTAAACTAGTAGGTCGTATACTCTACAATTTATCGAAGATCTGAATACATACGTAATCCAAATCAAATTGCAAGCACCGTATTGGTTGGCATCCGCCATCTTGCCTTATTTAGTGCCCGATATAGAGACATTGAGACCAAATTTATACAGCCCGAGTCGTCGCTGCGCTCGCGGGCCGCGAAGAGATAAACTCGATTGTATTACATCTCACGTAATCCGGGAAAGGTAAAACCCACGTTTTATGACGGCCGCCGTCGACGAAACGCTGCGCCTTGCACGTTCGTTTCATTTCCGCGCCGAGAAGGTGCTGTCGAGGACCAACTTTTGATGGCATTCCACTCGCTGCCCTCGTGAAAAATTAATATGGACATGTAGGCCACCAGCATACACATGTAATCCACGTCGGTTGTAATTCTTAACTTTCTACCACAAGCACAACCTCACCCTTTCGGAATTTTTCGGCATTAAAACACAGACGGCGATGCGTAGCATAAAAATAAATATTGAAAGCGCGGGGTTAGTTTTTATTGTTATTACCCGCCACGACTTGTACGCCATTATCATTATACGCGTTCTGCGCCAAGCGCGGTGCTTTTGCGGTTCAAAACATGCGCAAAGTTACGATATAATCATACAAAGCGTTTGTAAACCTAAATTTTGCGAATATATTTAATAATAATGAAGGATATTTTATGGAACACTCGGTGTATGTAGTTCAAAGTTTGCGTTGAAGAAGTATGTCGTAAGTACTCGTACACGGCGCATTGCGAATACGCGCGGTGAGTGTATAGACATAATATAAAACGAAGAAGCGAAAAGAGATAAACTTTGCGCAGAAGCAGCCACCGAAAAAACGTAACGAGCGGAACGTGCGGACGAGTTTTTTCTTCTTCTTGTCTCTAAACAAACATTGACTTGATATTCTTTTAGTTAATATTTTAAAACGACATGTTTGGGCATTTGCTATTGGGTGTAATACTCGTACTGCAATGGCGGCGTTAGGTTTACATTTATGGGACAAACACGATTGCAATCTCGACCCCAACTTGTATTGCTCAGCATCCGCCATGCGGTGACATCTCCGATACATCGTGCGTTAATTGAACGCGCTGTTAGGCAAAATGGTGCTGATGATCACAATGCAACGTTGCAACATCAAGCACATATGCAATTACGCTAGGCAACCCAAAGTACACACATCACAATGTTCACACAATGCGATTTATTTTTAACCTAAAAATTTATTGTTTTTGGAAACATGCTGTATGGGTGTATCATGCGGGTCATTTGGGATAGTGTAGAGGGAGCAGATGCACTGATAACGCAAATATCGAAATATCAGCAGATAACGCCGTGTAATGCGACGCGTTGGGCTGTAAATCTTGGTCGCGTTCTAATCACCCTGCGCCCAGTGGGTCAGAGTCGACGCATCGGCAATTTCAATAGCAATTCCAATCGCTTAATGCGCTGCGAGAGATTTCGTAATGAATCCAGCCGCGGTATCAAAACAGGACTACTCTTGTTTCCCCTTGACTCCCGCTCATCCCGCAATGTGTAACTGCACGCCTGGCATGATCGGAATTACCACCGGGAGTGGAATTTTGGGCAAGTGTGACAATCCTGTCAATCTACTTGGTGGTCAATCGGGATAATCACCTTTCCATAATTAATTACTCTTTGCCTACAAAATGCTACAACATTAAACATAAGGAGAGGAATAAATTTTGCTCTCGCTGGTTTTCGTGGACCATTAAAAGTTTTAGGTATCACGCTTTGCTTCCAAGGTGTTATCCGCCACGTGTATATATGGGTCATTAGTGCTAGTGGTTTTCCACGAGTTTTCCACCGCTTGCTTTACGTTTACCTTTACTTTCGGCCCAGCCCGAGGGCGGGTGTAAGTGCGCGTTAGTAATCTCACCTACACATTCGCACTCAATGACTCGGTGACCAAGTGAGGGGCTTCTCCAAACATCGAACGCATCGAACGTTTAACGCCACGTGCAGAAGTTAGACGCGCGTGGAAAAGTTTCGAATAAATGTGTAGTGCTTTCAGTTCAAACGGCGGGATTCAGGAGATTCAGGAGAGGAGAGTTTTATTTTTTTACCGCCAAGGATTGTTTTCTTTGCTCATAAAAAGCTAGTGGAGTTAAGAAAACAAAGCGAACATATTTTCGTGGTGTTTGTGAACTTTTCACACAAAAGATAATTTAGTTATAAATATTTATCGTTGACAAATTTGTAACTGGCGCGCGGATTGAATTGTCGCACAAGTTTTAAACAACAAAGCGCAGGCGATGTTAATAGGTAACAATAGTTTCCGGGCGCCTGGTGGAAAACTACGGAACTAACAACGCGACCACTGCAAGTTGCGTAGTGGTCACAAAGTTTAAAGTGTTTTAATACCGTCGAAAACAACAAACAAACAATGAAACAAAGAAGTAAAAACGTAATTTTATGTTTATTTGCTCCGCCCACCGCAGTCACTGCGCATGCGCAAGTGATTTAATAAAAATCACTACTTTAAAGTCGCTAAAATGAGTTACGTGGTTGCCACAAACTTTAAAGCCGAAAAAATCAAACAAATAACGAAACAAACAAGTCAGAAAGCTAATTTTAGGTTTATATACTCCGCCTACAATACTCACTGCGCATGCGCAAATAATTTAATAAAAATCACTGCTTTGAAGCTGCTAACATGAGTTGTTAAGTGGATACAAAGTTTAGAATGTTTTAATTCAGCCTACAACAACAAACAAACAAGTAAAAACGCTAATTTTATCTATATTTGCTCCGCCTACCTTACTCACTGCGCATGCGCAAGTGATTTAATAAAAAATCAATGCTTTGAAGTCGCTAACATGAGTTGAGTTGTTGTCATAAAATTTAAAGTATTTTAATACCATCGTAACAACAAACAAAAAAGTAAAAAACCTAATTTTATGTTTATTAGCTCCGCCTACTCCACTTACTGCGCATGCGCAAGTGATTTAATAAAAATCACTGCTTTGAAGCAGCTAACTTGAGTTGTGGAGTGGATACAAAGTTTAGAATGTTTTAATTCAGCCTACAACAACAAACAAACAAGTAAAAACGTTAATTTTATCTTTATTTGCTCCGCCTGCCTTACTCACTGCGCATGCGCAAGCGATTTAATAAAAAAATCTCTGCTTTGAAGTCGCTAACATGAGTTGCGTTGTTTTCACAAAGTTTTAATTGTTCTAATGCCGTCGAAACAAGAAACAAACAAGTAAAGAACCTAATTTTATCTTTATTTGCTCCGCCTACTGTACTCACTGCGCATGCGCAAGTGATTTAATAAAAATCACTGCTTTGAAGCAGCTAACATGAATAATGCTGTAATTCACACGCGTAGATTTACTCATTGTAGTTCTAATTCGTTTAATTTGTTCGCCTTCACACTCCGCCGGTTATTTTTTCAGCGTGCACTTTTTTTTCGTTGTGTTGTATGTGCGCGCACACGCAATATGTACGGTATCAAATGTCGTGCGACTCGTGTTCACATTTTTATCGCCGCGATTCGTGTGTGTTTTTTTAATTACGGGCCCGAGTTAAATTAATTAACTCGTTACTTTTTTTCGTCAGCGGGGCGCGCGCGTTTGTTTTCTCAGCGTGTAGCGCGCACGCTATAAAATTGCGCACATTTAACGCTTCCATTGTTTATTTAACGCCGGCAGCTTTTTAGTTGTCGCGCGCTTTTTTAAGTTGCTCAGCGTGTGCCAACGGCTGAGCGTGAATTTAATTAGATTCTGACACCGGCTAACTGGTAAGCACTAAATAGATGACATGTTTAATCATGATGCATATATACAGAGTGTTCAGGATAAAAATTAATCGTTTTTTACATAAAAAATATAAAAACGCGATTTTCAGTTAAAAAAACGTTTTGTAAAATTAAAATTTTATACAAAAAATATTTCAGATTACATGTTTACTCATGTGTTATCTATACAGGGTGTTTAGAATAAAAATTTACGTTTTTTTCGTTAAAAATCATGTTTTTAAGTAAAAAAAAGTTTTGTAATTATTTTCGCAAAATTTATTTTTTATATAAAAAAATATATAAATCCCGAAGCGTAGAAAAAGTTTCCGAAAGTTTTCGCAAGCCACCATTTCCTCCTAACCGATGTTAATGAATATTTAATGTCTTTCCGTGCTGGATTTACGTTTTTCTCCCTCTCGCTCGGTATTGACTTGTATCGATTGGGATTTGCACAAGTTATATAATGGGAAAATTGCCCCAACTGTCGAAAAGTATAAAGCATATTGCCAACTTATGAAAACACTCCCCTATCTGACAAAAATACGAAACGTTTTGACAAAACTTTCGGCATTACGTATTCCATTCGATTATACTCCGCTTTTGGGCATCCACACGTCGTCGAGCCATGATTGAATCTAATAACACACCTAATGAAATCCACGAGTCAATGAAAACTTGGCAGGCGAGTCACACACGTGTCGCGCAAATCGCAAAAACCGCCAAATGCCGAACTTTTCACCGGTGTTGTAAAAAAGTTTTCCACTTTTTAATATTTTATTATCATCGAATTAGAGTTTAGTGGTGTTGGTGATGTTGGTGTACGTTGTGTGGTTGGTCTTTGGGAAAGTGCAAGAAGTTCGTCGCCAATCGCCGAGAATAAAAGCGAAGGAAAATTGACGTCAGTGCAAATTGTAAATGCCGCAGTCGTAATAAAAGTTACGACCGACGGGCAGGGGCAAAAGGGAAAAGTTTCGCACGAATTGAGGAAGACAAGCAGGACTCTAGCGCCCGCTGCAGTGCAAGTTGGCAAATGGAAGGTGACTGGGAGACGAGGCGAATCGAAAGTAGAAAAACTGAGGAAGAAAAGACGGGCGGTGCACACGTTAGGGACCTGAGCACCTGAATTTTATTAATGTTATTTGTCGCGTATGGGGAATTAAAGTGGGTTATGAAAAATGCAGAGGATGCAGCGCTGGTTTTTGGCACTGTTTTGGGGATAATAAAACCAATCATAAATTAGATTTGAAAAAGTTTTTAAGTTTATATATCTTTTATTCACTTTATGCCTTTAAAACCATTATTTTTATTTATACGATGTTATTATTTCTTGTTTTTTCCTGCGTGATTTCTTAAGGATTCATGGTGTTTCGTTTTTGTTTCGGTTTTATCGTCGCTTGTTTGTTTTTTACGAGTTTGCGGCGTTACACGTTACACCCAGACGCAATAAATATGATCTGATTTTCCGACGTTAGCCCCACCCGTATCGTCCGCATCGTAACTCTTCAGCATCCAACCCACCCTTCGACCCTGTACGCCTGTAGGCCTGCCAGCAAACACACAATATTTCCACCGAGTAACACTGAAATCTGCGAACAAAATCAGATATCTGAATAAACGTCGAAAAATCTGTCTGCTTCCTTTATCTGCGTGCATTTATTTGCGTAAATTTCTTTGGAGAATAAAAAGACGCTGGGTGCGCTTACGGCAATCATCAGAAACATGTCATAAAAATGATAATAAAGCATAAACCATAATAAAACGTCATAAACGTCATGTTCAATACGTCTTCTCTAAGGCAGACGGGAAAATATCAAGAAAGACATTTAATTTTGTTTCGCAAGACAAATTTGCATTGGAAAAAAAAAAAAGAAAAACAGGTTGTATGTAATTAGTTTCTTCAAGCGGCAAAGAAAATGAATCAATCTGAAAGAAAAAAGAATGCGAAACATGAAGATGAAAAATTACCGCTGGTTGAATGGAATTAACAAGCGTGCAACTTTGTATTCGCTAATAAAATAAAAACATAAAACGCGACGTTTGAATAAATACAATGTGACGCTACCAGATGGATTACAAAAAAATTTGTCAGTAAAATTTTACTATTTTGAAATGCAAAAAGTTAAAAAAACAAAAAATTAATTTTTTTGTGTTTTTTTTTTGATAGCGTTACAGAAAATATTTAGTATATTAGTTTCCGGTAGTAATGTGTTTAATGAGGTCACGACAATGGTGTGCGCAGTCAGAAATAAGCCGAAACGACAAACAACGCAAAGAAAACGAATTAATTAGCAAACATAATAAATGTTCTCGGTAAAAACGTAATAGCGCGCTGCCAGTAACCGAAAATGTACAAGGAAATGGAATAATTTGCATGCAATCCGACAATTATTAGCTTCCGCATGAAAGCTCCAATTTGTTTTATTGTTTTCTTACATTTATCATTATTTTAACAAAGGCATAATTTTATTCTTTTCCGGACGTGAAATCGATGTGTTTTTTAATTAAATATTTCAATGTGGATTGAAATTTGTCAAAATTACGGCTCAAAACTAATGTGTTTTTGTACACCTAGCGAGATAATAAATAATCCGGCATTGAATCGAGTTGTCATTCGCACTCCGCGGGAAAAATAACATAGGTAGTATAAATAATTTACTCACAATGCACCAGCGCCATAATCGAATAAAACAATAAATATGTCTTTATATGCGCAGCACGGCGTAAAAGTGCATGTATGGAATATTTGCATGCAACAATACAAAACTACAATATTAATAATAATGAAAATTTATTGCTTTGATATAAAATTCGATATAAAACTCGAAATAAATAAATTTCAATGAAACTCGTTACGATTATCCACATAGCATATTCACGAGTTTATATTTTTGTTAGGTTAGGAAATATTCGCTATTTGTTGTGGCATATTGCATTCGAAAATAGGAAAACTTGCTGCGGATGGTGGATTGTTTGTTGTTCGTTTGTTGGTTAGTTGAACTTTGCCTGCGAGCAAAAAGGACGAGCAAGGAAATTGACGGAAATGTGGTTTCATGGTTGCATAACCAAGGAAAAATAGAAATACAACTCTCACAAAATAGGAAAATGTCTATGAAAATATGATAGCACAACATTCAAAATTAGAGCAATAAAATTTTACTTACTAAAAAATAACGTTGTTTGTTTGAGTATTAATAACGCGGAACGATGGAAGTCGTAAACTTTCCCAGTTTGTTATTGTCGCTCGTTTAGTCTAATATCTCTTATTCCTGCTTAGTTTTGTTGGCACAACGAATTTTTGCATGCAGAAATTACAGATAGTAAAAAAATTACCCATTTGTTTAAATATTCTTCGCGTGCGCTACAATGGCGAAGGTATAAAGTTGGCCGGTTGGCTCACAATGAAGAAAACTCATGTTTGCTGTGTGTTACAAGCGCCTCCCGGAGAAGTAATAATAATGTCTCGTAGTTTGAACGAGCGACACTTTCAGTACACCGTGAGGCCGTAAAACGAAACGCCCTTGCGTTGTGTTATTGTTTTCCACGTTTTATAACCACCTTGGAAATAACAATTCCACTTCTACTGTCTGTAATAAAGACAAAGGCATCGGTGGAATGAAAAAATATTTTTTAATATTTATTTTCATCAATTGAGGTTATAAGCATATATAAACTACTAGCTTTAACCCGTGGCTTCGCTCGCGAATATCTAAAATAATGAAGTTGCTTCTGTACGCGTCTGTAGTCACAGAAGAAGTAACAATGAAGTAGAATGGCGGGAAGTTTAAAATGGCTGAAAGTATAGTCTATGGAAGTATAGTGTACAGTCTCCATAGTGTAGTCAATTGGATTTGATGTTGACGTAGCTGTCGGTAATACAGTGTGATAAGACAGTGTGATGGTACTATAGTACTTATGTTTGAGCTTCATTGCTGGAATGCTAGATGGCGTTAAAGTAGTCAAATAGCCAGATGCAGAGGTATTATTGGCTAAACTATTTCTTTATTTTATTTAAAAATAATTTTTTTTATTAAATAAAAAGTAGCCTATAACCATTCGGGGACCACTAAGAATATGTGTACAAATTTTCATGATGATCGGTTAAGTAGTTTTTGCGTGAAAGTGTAACAAACATCAGGACTTTCGCATTTATTATATTAGTAGGGATGCCATTAGCAGATTGGGTTGCCTATGTTGATTCACCGTGCTTGGGCAAATTAAATGCACTGTGAGCACACAATGCGCCGCTAATTAATAAAGCATTTAGAGATGCAGCCCGATATATTTTGCGTGCGCATGATTCATGAAGGCTGCTGCTCCCAGGAGTAGGTCTCTCGGTTGTGGGATGCGGGTCGATGAATTCAGCCGGCTGATATTTAGTTTTGCGAGTTGTACGTACACACATTGTGCGTGCGGGTGGAACTTGACTGACTGAATATTAATCTCTGTCGACATTGTGCGAGGCTCCATGTAGACATTTTACTACATTACATTGCGATGCGCAAAATTTCCGAATCTCCAACTTGTTTACATTGCCATCCACACGCTATACTATAGGCAACCAAACTCACATAGTACGAGTACGTGCGAAGTTAGAAAGCTCCGCTTTGCTATTCATCTGATTTTCTTGTTTATTGTTCTGTGTTCACTTGAGCTCCAGATTAACTTGTGAGAGCTTCCCGACAAGTTTTCCTAGATTATAAGTTTAATCTAATTCTAACACATTGTAGTTAAGTTTTTATGGATTTTAAATATTCTTGGCGTCGCCTGTTGCAAAACTGAGAAAACAAGGTTTTGTTCGTTTCGGCGCAAAGCAAGTGGAAGTCGTGTTAAGCTCGTGCTCTAGCGACGACAACTACATGTGTGCATGTTTCACTCACAATGCGTATTGTGTCCTGGAGCATCCTGGAGTGTCGTGTCGCGTTGTACATGCATAACATGAATACTAGGTTGGATGTTGGATAGATTTATGGCAGATGGCATTTGACTTTCGCGTTTTCGAAAACATGCTTTGTTGGTATTTTTAAAAATGAGTTACTGCGGTATTATACACTGGAGGGGTGAAAAATACCGGTATTTATATCGGTATACCGGTATTTTTATTATTAAATGCTTATATTTTTGGAAAAAATATTTATTGCAAAAAATACGTTTTCAGCTTAGGAATACCGGTATACCAGTATAACGAAATACCGGTATTTAAATATATTTTTTTTAAATTTCAAATGCTTATATTTAAAAAATATATATTTATTGTAAAAAATACGGTTTTTGTTTCAAAATACCGGTTTACCGGTATACCAAAATACCGGTATTTAGGTATTTCTTATTTTAAATATCAATATTTTTTTAAATAATCAGTATTTCAAGAAATACCGATTCAACCATAAAATACCGGTATACCGAAAAAACGGTATTTCGGTATTTTTTGTTTCAAATACCAAAATTTCTATAAAAACAAAAGTTTCGCAATATTGTGAAAAAAACACCCTATCTGCCACAAAATACCGATAACCAAAATACCGGTATTAACCTCAAAATTCACGTTTTTTAGAATCTAAAGTGAACACATTGTATATAAGAATATTTATTCTGAGTAGTACCTCATTGAACTATTGAACTTCCTATTAGTTTGCTGAATGTTTAACGACGTTGGTAATGTGTGTAATGCGCTTTGCCGCGATCTGCAAAATGACGCGAGGAGCGTTTAGTCGAAGTTTGTTGCAACAACCGCGCACACAGACAAATACCTAGTGTGTTACCGATTCACCCTCGCCGCCCTTTTCGGCGCGGATGTGTGCCTCGAGGTTGTCGTGTGCACGTTGACATGTTCGTGCGGTGTGTCGTGCGCTCAATCGGTCGCACATGTAATTAAGTCATTTCCAAAGAGAAACGTGACTAATTGAGGACTATTTAAGCATGAAATATGTTTGGTAATTAGTTTTCAATATAGGCAAACAAGCATGCATTGACAAACGTAACCGAGTGGATAATTATTTGAGAAAATATTTGAATTAAGTTGAAATATGAGCGAGGAGATAAATTTAGGTCGTTGGCTGTGAGTGCACTTGTTGTCTCATCCAGACTCTTGTCCGGAAAACTCGCCATAAACTCGTGGATCGCAGATGTTTGTCCGCGCCAGTTGAAAGTAAACCATGACGCAATCATAAGCACCACAGCACTTCAACTTCTGCACAAATAATTAACCGAATAAATCTACAAATTGCACTGTTGCAAACAGTTTGCCAACGCGCGCATTGATCGCAGAAACATTTTGAAACATTAAATGAAGCTCGGAGCGTTTTATGGTGCCGGTGTGAAGTTTGGGGCGCGAATTATGTGCATGCTGCACGGTTTTGTGGGTTTTCCGGAGGTGGCGAGCATTGCGAACAAAAAGAAGCCGCCGTAACCGATTTAACTAGCGCGCACCACGCTGGTGAATGCGAATGCTCTCGGGGCCTCGTAGATTTTAACACCATCCATCCATCCAGAAACGGGTGGATCCGGGATGCGAAGAAGCGGGTCAATGTGCTAGGTGCATTTTCACTCCCCCAATGTCAACAAACAGCTGCAGCGGCTTAAACAATTTTCCGGCGTTTCTTTGTTGACACGAAAATTGCATTAAATTTAACGAAAATATTTAGCCACGGAAATTATGCACACCTTTTTTATTCAATCATTGAATAAAAAATTGCGCGCGCGTCGCGTAACTCGTTGAAAATCGACGAGAATTTGCATAAGCGGTTTTTATTTTACTTTATTTATTTTATTTCCATCGACGGCGACGTCTCCATCATCTCAATTTTTCCTGCGAACGTTTTTACACGTTTTTCGTTTTACGACGCGCGAGTGTTAAATTTTTACTGGAAGCCAAACGAAAATGTTTTCCAATTATCGATTCTGTATCAACCTGTCAACGTGTGCGGCTATTTTATGTTTTTGCCGATATTTAATATAAAATCTTCGACATAAAAGAAGTCATTACGGTGGAGCTAATGTATCCGAGTTTTTCTGCCGAAGGAAAAAATTGTCTTTGTTATTCGATCGCAGCGTGCATCAATAAAATGCAGATGAGACTATCCTGACCGAATGCAAACGAAAAGAGAACGAAATTAGCCTCGACAATGCGGCAGCAGTATTTATTGCTTCCATTGGCTGCCGTCGTGCGCTTCCGGGAGCTTTTTGCGTCGTGCCAACTCTTTCTTACGCGCATCCAATTTACCTTCGTGAGGTAAGCAAAACTTTCAGCGTTTTGCATGTCACTTTTTCATTTCAAATCGAAATTGCACGCCCGCGCAAAAAAATCCACAATAAACGTAAACATAACCTTAACTCGTAGAAAATCGAGGTTATGCAAACATACATACACCCAACTTGTGGTTGGTGTAAGTGTGGTTGCATAACATTCTAGCGTATTAATGATCGTGCCGCAATGTTGGCGATTTATTGCGTAACTTTTCGGCAACTTTTCAGTGTATACTTTTGTTTATTGTTCCGTTTTCCATTCGGCGGGACGACTGTGTGTGATTGTGGCATTGCTAATGCGAGTTTCAAACACACACACACATTCAGTGAACGCACCTTAATAAACCTCATACCTATGTAGGTCTATTAACGAACTACTAAAACTTCTTCGTCGAGTTTGGGGCTGGAACACAAATATTCGCGAACACAAACAGCAAATCGAAGCCTCGGATGCAAATACACGCAAATCGAGGCTCTGCGGGTCGCCGGCATTTGCATTCTTTATTAGTTTCGTTCGCCATCGCTGCTAATAAACCCAAAAGTGGAAACTGAGAACTGAGAACTGAAAAGCGAGTTCGGGAACTTCTTGCGCGCACTTCCGGGGCTTCTCAGACGTACATTTTTAGTAGGTACTGTTTCAGTTTTCATGTTTGGGTCGCCGCGAAACTTTCCGGGCTTCTTTTTGATTTATTCCAGTAAATAAAACGCATGGAACTCTATAAAAGTAGATAAAACATGTGCGGATGATGGAACAATACAAATTATGTCAATTTGTTTATTTCAGTGCTTTAATGTTCTTTGGTGTCGTCTAGTGCTTTATGACTTCTGCTATTTACTTTTACTAGAGTTGTTTCGACGTACCTTTTGTTATTTTGTTGTGGAAATGCGAAAACTTCGCAGACTTTACGTCGCGTCATCAAAAAACGAACAAAAAACAGAAAATAATAATAATTTGACTTAAAATGCTGCAGTTAAATTAATTACACGTTGTAATTTGCCCCGAAAATGAAAAAAATCGGTAATTTTTTAATTTTTATATATAAATTTGTATAAAAATTCTTTACAACGCCAAAGTTGTTAATTAAATTTAATGTTTTCGTTTTCTCCTCTACGCTTTCCGCTGTGTAAGTTTGCAATCTTCA